ACATTTCACAAGAATTCTATTATTCACAAATCTTTTATAAATTTCTTCGTAATAATATAATTATTTTCATAAATAATAAAATTCTGCTGAAGAATTCAATTATGTTTAAAAATAATAAAACTCATCCGAATAATCAAATTAGATTTCATACAATTTTAATTTAATTCCTCGAAAAATGTAATTATTCTTAAAAATTTCATTAAAATCCGTCGAAAGAATTCAATTATTTAACAATTTTTTGATAAAATTCTTTATAAAAATTTTTTGAATTAAATTTTGTGTAATTATATTAATAATTTATGTTCATAATTTTTTAAAAATTTTAAAAAAAAAAATTATTATTTTTTTTTTTTTTTTTTTTTTTTTTTTTTTATTATTATTTTTTTTTTTTACTTAATTAATTTTTTTTTTTTTTTTTTCTACGCAAACCTTTAGTTATTTTCGTAAATAATAAAAATATTTCACAAGAATTCAATTATTTATAAAATTTTTTAAAACTTCTTAGCAAGAATTTAATTATTATCATAAATAATAAAATTCTTTTTAAGAATTCAATTATTTTAATACTTAATAAAACTTGTTGCAGAATTTCAATTATTTTTCATGCAATTTTAATCGAATTTCTCGAAAAAAGTAATTATTCTCGTACAATTTTTTAATAAAAAATGATTAAAAAATGATTTTTAGTTAAAATTTGAAATTATAATTGAATATTAAAATTATTATAGTGTGAATTTTTAGAAATAATTGAATTATGAAAAGGTGGCAAATTAGAATCTTTGAAAATCTTAATTTTTCGTACTTTTAACTAACAAGCCTAGTAGAATAATTTTTTTTCCTTTTTTAAAAATTATTTCAAGTTATATTAATTTCTAAATATTTAATTGAAGAATTTTGGAATACATATATTCGAAATTTCGTAAAATTGAGTTGTAAACAAATGAATATGAAAATGCTCAAGGAACTTTTGCAAAAATTATTAAAAATAATTGATAAATTCAATTCCTTCGAAGAGTTTTAATACAATTTTTGAAAATAATTTGATTTTTCGAAGAATTTACTTAAAATTGTATTAAAAATAATTGAAATCTTGTGAAGAATTTTATTATTCAGGAGAATAATTGAATTCTTGCAACAAATTTTATTAATTTTTTTTTAAATAATTGATTTCTGTAAAGAATTTTATTATTTATGAAAATAATTGAATTCTTGCAAAAAATTTTAAAAATAATTACATTTTTCGAGAAATTTATTTAAAATTGTATTATAAAAATAATTAAAATCCTATGAATATTTTATTATTTATGAAAATAATTGAAATCTTGCAACGAATTTTATTTCATTTTTTTTTAAATAATTGAATTCATGTGGAAAATTTTATTACTTATTAAAATAATTGAATTCTTGCGAAGGAATTTATTAAAATTTTTGTAAATAATTGAAACCCTCCGAAAAATTTTACTTTTTATGAAGATAATTGAATTTTTAGGGAGAATTTTATTAAAATTTTTGAATATAATTGAAATTCTTAAAAAAATTGTATTATTTATGAAAATAATTGAATTCTTGCGAAGGAATTTATTAAAATTTTTGTAAATGATTGAAACCCTCCGAAGAATTTTACTTTTTATGAAGATAATTGAATTTTTAGGGAGAATTTTATTAAAATTTTTGAATATAATTGAAATTCTTTAAAAAATTTTATTATTTATGAAAATAATTGAATTCTTGCGAAGGAATTTATTAAAAATTTTTTAAATAATTTAATTTGTTTTTGAAAAATTTTATGGAAATTTAAATTATCATAAAACAGGAAGAAATCGATCGATTTTTTTCTGTTTTATAATAATATTTTTCATGATTAATTTAATTAAAAAAATTATAAATAATTTAGAAATTAGTTAAAGATAATTTTCAAAAATATGTTTGGATCAATAATTTTATAATAAGAAATGAAGTTTTCGTCAAATATTGTATTATATAAGTCCTTAGTGTTTCTCTGTGCTGAAATTTTTTATGACTCGCTATATATAAAATGCTTTTGTCTTGCAAATTCAGTTACACACAGACTGATCGAATTGTCCGCGTGTTTTATTATATTATGCGGCTAAGCGCGAGGAGTTGAATGAATTGAGAGAGAGAGAGAGTGAGAGAGGAGTGAGTTTTTTTGATGAAACCGGTCGTAACTTATGTGCAAAATAAAAGAATATTTTGCAAATAATGCTTATTTATCATCTTGCTTTTTGAGTGTCGTAAAGTTGAGCACCGGTTTTCAGCATTAGTAAACAAACAAGAGCATAAAAGACACGAAAGTGATTCCATCTGATCAAAAAGACGTCCAGCAGAGCGACTTACCGCATAGCAGTTTATTGTCCGCGTGTTATATATATACGTGTGTAGATGTATATAATAATATAAAAGTGCGTTTGTTCCGGATAGAGATCTTTGACGAGGTACATGTGATACAGATCCCCAGAGAGACACCTATCGCTATAATATAGACTCGTTTCTCATCTCCTTGAATCGGATTAGAAATTCCTTCTCTATATTAAAAATACGTTTAAATCTCGTATATTGAGAGTGAATAACTTCATATTCCAAAGATTTATCTTTACAACTAACAACTGTAAGAGAGAGATCATATAAAACTTAATAGTATGTCTATGCAGTTTTTCGTTTTAGTTACAACTATTATCCTTTTAATAGAAATGTCGCAGGGAATTTTATAAACCTTGAAAAAACCTGGAAAAGTCAGGGAATTTTGATCGAAATCCTGGAAAATTGTCGTTTTCTACAGTTATTGTGTTTATTCTTGAAAATTTAATTTCATTTAAATATTTCAAAATTAATTCAATTTCAAAAGAATTGCGTTTACAATTTTCAAAATTAGATGAACTTCAAAAGATTTTGATATTTAAAATTTTGTAAAATTTAAATTTTAAATGGATTTAATTAGAAATATTAAAAAACTTAGAATTAAAAAAAATTTAAAACTAGAATTCTTCGGAAATTAGTTAAATTTTTTAATATATATGATTATTAAAAATAATGGATTTATAGAAGAATTTTAGTTAAAAACACTAAAACAAATTGAATTTTTAAACAATTACAAATTACTGCAGAAATTCAATTATATTTTTAAAAGTATAGTAAAATTCTTCTCAAAAATTCAATTATTTTCAAAAATTTTAATAAAATTCTTGGCAAAATTTTAATTATTTCAAAAAACTTTCCTCAATTCAATGATTTTTAATATCTACTATACTTTAATAAAGATTCTTAAAAGAATTCAATTAGTTAAAAAAATTTTTAATAAAATTCTACGCAAACATTTAATTATTTTCATAAATAATTAAATTCAATGCTGAATTTCAATTATTTTTAATACAATTTGAATAGAGTTACTCGAAAAAAGTTATTATTCTTAAAAATTTTATTAAAATTTATCAGAGAAATTCAATTATTTGAAAAACGTTTGCTACAATTTATTTATTAGAATTTAAGAATTATTTTCAATACATTTTTAATTAAATTTCTATAAAAGAATAAAATTATTTTCAAAAATTTTAATGAAATTCTTTGCGTAACAATTCAATTTTTTTCAAAATAATTTTAATATAATTCTTCGCAGAAATCCAATTATTTTTAAAAATTTACAAAAATTCTCGTCAAAATTTCAATTATCTTTATAAATAATAATATTTTTCTCCGAAATTCAATTATTTTCAAAATTTGTAATAAAATTCTTGTCAGAATTTCAATTATTTTTTATATACTTTTCATCAAATTTCTGGAAAAATGTAATTATTCTTAAAAATTTTATTAAAATTTGTTAAGAGAATTCAATTATTTAAAAATAAATATTAGTAAAATTCGTCTCAAGAATTCAATTATTTTAAAAAATTTTTGATAAAATTCTATACTCAAACATTTAATTATTTTCGTAAATAGTAAAAATTGCACAGGAATTCAACTATTTTCATAAATAATAAAACTCAATGCAAAATTTCAAATATTTTATATAAAATTTTAATCAAATTCCTGGAAATATGTAAAATTCTTAAAAATTTTATTAAAATTCGTCAAAAGAATTCTATTATTTAAAAAGAAATTTTAGTAAAATTCGTCTCAAAAATTTAATTATTTTCAAAAGTAATATAATTCTTCGCAAAAATCCAATTATGTTCGAAAATTTAGAAAAATTCTCGTCAAAATTTCAATTATATCTTTATAAATAATAAAATTTATCTCCGGAATTCAATGTTTTTCAAAAATTTTAATAAAATTCTTGGTAGAATTTCAATTATTTTTAATACAATTTTCATCAAATTTCTCGAAAATGTAATGATTCTTAAAAATTTTATCAAAATTTTTCCAGAGAATTCAATTATTTAAAAACTTGTTGATAAAATTCTTTATGATAATTCAATGTTAAGAAACATTCAAATGTTTAATAAAATATTTATTTTTATAGTTAAATAATTGAATCCTCGTATAATTTTCTAATAAATATTGATTTAAAAATTAATTTCAAATTAAATTAATTGAAAATTTGAACTTTTCATACTTTTAATTAGGAATTCTATAGAATTAATTTTTCTCAATAAAAGTTGAATGGAATTTCTTTTAATTATTTGAAGTTTTTAATTTCTAATATATTTAATTAAAGAATGTCAGAATAATCGAAATTTCGTAAAATTAAATTGTAATCAAAAGAATTTGAAAATTCACAAAGAACTTTTTGAAAAGTTATTAAAAAAATTGACTTAAAGAAGAATTTTAGTTGAAAATTCTAGAAATGAATCTAGAAACGAATCACTCCGAGTAGAAGACTCGGAGTGATCGATATCTTTATGTTTTATAATAATATTCTTATATGTTATTAAATTTCAAATTTTTGAATATCTTAATTTCTATAAAAAAAATAATGATAAAAAATTAAATATTTATTTAAAAATGAAGTTATTGATGTTTTCGAATAATTTTCGTTTTTAATACCTGGAAAAATTCAGTTTTTTATCCTGGAAAACCTGGAAAAGTTCCAATTTGTCCCACCTGGGTCGGGATTCGAACACATGTCACGACACGCACTTAGACTGTGCCTTACGCCCCACGGCCAAATCACTGCGCCTAAGAACCGAAAATCATCTCTTCAGATTATTTCCAATTTCTTATCGATTTCTATAATAAAAAATATTATTTAACAAGGAAATTTTTAATTTTAATAACAAGAAGGTTTTTAATAACAAGAAAAGCTAAAATTACACTAAAAGGCAAGAAATTAATTAAAATTTCTTGCCTTTAATGTAATTTTTGCTTTTCTTTTTAAAAGCCGAATAATGTCGTATTTTCTGAAGAAATTAGAGAAGAAATTTAAAGAAACACGAAAAATGACAGTTATTGGTTGTGTGGAGATATTTTTTTTTCTGCAATACTCAATATATGTTAAAATGTAGAAAAACCACTGCCGGCTGCTGGCGAATGACATATTTATCGGTTTCTAAATTACGCATAGCAGGGGCTGTAGTTACGTCTTGTTTCGGCGCCTTGGAACATTGTGGTCACGTCGGTAATGGGCTGTTGGACCATAAATAAATGGCGTCTCGCATCTTGTCTTGTCCCATCGTTTTCTTATATACTTTGGCATCCAACCGTGTTTTGAAGAAAACAAAACGAGAGAGAAAGAAGAATGGCTCGTTTAGCATGCACGCATTCGCCTTTACTCGTCGACACGAGTCACCGGATACTTTCGATGATCGCTTTAGCATTTTAAAAGCATTCCTTGAGCCCATATAGATTTTTTCGCGCGATATATACACTATCCCGAGGCAAACGAGATCGCAACCTTTAAGCAGTCAAAGCTCGTAAAAGGGTTACACACAGCTTCCGATTTCCGATAAGCTGTCATGCTTTTTCTAATCTCGTTTACTAAATATCCCATTCCTTTTCATTCTTCTTAATACTCTCTCTCTCTCTCTCTCTTACAATCCATCAATCTCTCCGGGGGTATTACCTTTTTCTCTTCTTATATCGCTTATTTCTTATTTGCCTCTACAATGTAGTTACAAAATTTACATTCAGATTTAATTTTTTTTCTCTCTGTCTGTCAATAGAGAAATTGTTTGGTAATTGAAAATTGTGTTTCGCAACAAAAGCAAATATTCTTTATAGAAGTGGGCTTTATTGAAATTTTTTTTTCTCATTTCCGTGCGCCCGCGTGTTGTTCGGAGACGGAAATAATTTTATCTAAACAAGACTGGAAATTAAAGAATATAATCAAAAAAGGCGGATCGTTGTTATTAGCGAGACAAATGACAGCAACATTCGACATATAAAGCTTCACCTGTCAAGAGTTATAATAATGAAACAATTCCGTAGGCGCCGAGGCGCACAATGTCCAATCTTTTCGCAGGTCTTTTCGCCCACCCGTCGAGACACTATCATCGTTTTCGTCTCGCGAGTTATTTTTTTTTCTTTTATATATATATATATATATATATATATATATATATATATATATATATATATATATTGTATTATATTTTCATTGCATTCCATTGCCTATGAAGAAATTATGCAAATTATCCTTTCTCGCTATAATCGAAAATGGAAAAAGTATTTTGAAAATTGTTTGATCTCTTCTACAATAATATTACATTGTATATTTTATTATAAAATAAATAAGAAGAATAAATAAATTAAAAAATGAGAATGTAATATTAACAATAAATTTTACTAAATAATAAATAAAAACTGAGTTCTAGCCTCTGAGCGTTGGGGGGAATCGAACCACTGTCCCTAAAAATAAGTCTAAACTTGTCTCACTAATTCACGTGCCTTAACGACTACGACCATCGACAATTAAATAATAAATAAATTAAAATTTATCATTTCATTCAGAAATTAAAATTGAATCAATGCACTGACTAATTTAATTCATCAATTTAACAAACTTCAGGGTTGCCACAGGTCAGGGAAAAGTCAGAGATTTTTATTAAAAGTACTGGAAAAAAAGAAAATTTTGAATTTATAAGAAAATTCTGAATTTTGGTGTCTTTTCTGTTATAGCATCATAATCTATGAAATTGCAAAAAATTCAAATACAAACCCTTCAATTTTTTCTATTTCTAATAATAATTTCTTTTTAAATAACTTAATTCTTGAATAACTATCATAAAACTATTACTTATAAATTATTTAATGAATAATTTTACTTCAAAATTTCAAAATTAATTTGATTTCAAAAGAGTTGCGTTTACAATCTTCATAAATAGATTAACTTCAAAGGTTTCAATTTGAAATTTTAGTAAATATTAATTTTTAATGAATTTAAATAGAAATTTTAAGAACAACTGATTACAGAAAATCAATTATTTTCAAAAGTGATAAACTTCTTCGCATAAATTCAATTATTTTAATATATATAACATTTCCGGAAATTTTAATATACTTCGTATTTTTTGAAAAATTTGGATTTTTCTCAAAAAAATGGAATATTTTGACATTTAGACAAACGTAGAGAGCAAACTTCTAAACGGAAGTGTAAAATATTCTATAATATCATTGATTGGGTTAAAATCTCGATATATATTTCAGGAAATTTTAATACACTTCGTATTTTTTGAAAAATTTTGATTTTTCTAAAAAAAATAAAATTTAATTAAATTTAGACAAACGTAGAGACTAAACTTTTTAATTTATTAAAATTTCCTGCAATATATATCAAGATTATACTCCAATCAATAATATTCTAGAATATTTTACAAATCTGTTAAGTAATTTAGTCTCTACGTTTGTCTAAATGTCGAAAAATTCAATTTTTTATAGAAAAATCAAAATATTTTAATAAATACAAAGTCTATTAAAATTTCCTGCAATATATATCCAGATTCTAATCCAAACAATAATATTCTAGAATATTTTACATATCCGTTTTGAAGTTTAGTCTCTGCGTTTGTCTAAATATCAAAAAATTTTATTTTTTTTTACAAAAATCCAAATATTGAAATATTTATATTTTTCTCTAAAAAATTGGATTTGACATCTAGATAAATGTAGAGCCTGAACTACTTAACAGTTTTATAAAAGACCCTAGAATTTAATTATGATGCAAAAAGTATTTCAATCCCAACAAAAACATCTTTGATGCAAAAATTTCCGCCAAGTAAAAATTTTGGAAATGTCAAAATAATTAGTGAAATAAAAGTTTACCAAGTAAAATTTGTAACGAATGTATTCAATTGTATTCAATTGTAACAAATGTAGAATTTAATTTAATTATTAACATAATCAGCTAATGAAATCCAATTGTTCGTCTTAATAAAAAATTTCTATTTGAAGCAATTTTAAGATCTTGGCGTCAATACTTTCATTAATTATAAGTTAGAAACATTATTGACGCCAAGATCTTAAAATTGCTTCAAATAGAAATTTTTTATTAAGACGAACAATTGGATTTCATTAGCTGATTATGTTAATAATTAAATTAAATTCTACATTTGTTACAATTGAATACAATTGAATACATTCGTTACAAATTTTACTTGGTAAACTTTTATTTCACTAATTATTTCGACATTTCCAAAATTTTTACTTGGCGGAAATTTTTGCATCAAAGATGTTTTTGTTGGGATCAATTATTTTCATAAATAATAAAATTTTTCTTGAGAATTTAATTATTTAAAAAAATTTGAATAAAGTTCTTCGCAGAAATTTAATTAATTTCAAAGATTTTAATAAAATTGTTGGCAAAATTTCTATTATTTTCAAAAATAATAAAATCCTCGTTCAAAATTCAAATCTTTTCAAAAATTTTAATAATAAAATTCTTGTCAAAATTTCAATTATTTTTATGATTAATAAAATCCTTTTTCGAAATTCAATTATTTTCAAAGATTGTAATAAAATTGTTGGCAAAATTTCTATTATTTTCAAAAATAATAAAATCCTCGTTCAAAATTCAAATATTTTCAAATATTTTAATAAAATTCTTGTCTAAATTTTAATTATTTTCAAAAATTTTCCTCATTTCAATTATTTTTAATATCTACTATTTTAATCAAATTTTCCAAAAGAATTCAATAATTTTAACAAAATATTAATAAAAATTTCACAAGAATTTAATTAGTTATCAATTTTTTATAATAATTTCTTCGCACCAATTCTATTATTTTTAATTTTTTAATGAAGTTTCTCGAAGAAATTCAAATATATTCGGAAAATTTAAATAAACTTCTTTTAAAAATTCTATTATTTATCAAAAATGTTGAAAAAATTCTTTACAAGATTTAGTTAATAAAATTGAAATTTTAATAAAATTTTTCTATATAATTCAATTATTTACAATACAATTCTTCTTAAGAATTCAACTATTTTCACAAATAATACATTTTTTTATGGTGCATTCAATTATTGAAAAAAATTTGAATAAAATTCTTCACAAGAATTCAAATTAGTTTTATAAATAATAATATTTTTGTCCGGAATTCAATTATTTTTACAAATAAAATTCTTCACGGGAATTCAATTCTTTAAAAAAAATTTAATAAAATTCGTTGCAAGAATTCAATTATTTTCATAAATAACAAAACTTATCGCAGAATTTCAATTATTTTTTGTACAATTTTAAATAAAATGATAGAAAATTAGATTTATTCTTAAAATTTTTTTTTAAATTCGCCGAAAGAATTCAATAATTTAAAAAAATTTTTAATAAATTTCTTTATAAAAATTCAATTTTAAGAAATATTTAATTATTTAATAAATGATTTTTTTTTGTAATTAAATAATTGAATTCTTGAATAATTTATTAATAAAAATTGATTAAAAAATGAATTTCACTTAAAATTTTAAATTTTAATTGAATATTCAAAGCATTGAATTTTTAGAAACAATTAAATTTTGAAAAGGGTTTAAATTAAAATCTTTGAAAATTTGAATGCTTCTTTAGATAATTTATTATCAATATTTAAAAAAGAGTTCGAAAAAATATAAATAGTGAAAATTATTAATAATATCAAAATGATTAGAAATGAGTTTTTCGTTAGAAAAGAACTGGCGCACGTGTTTGAGCGAGATTCATCATCATCACCACCATCATCATTGTTAATTCTGGTATCAGAACATTTTGT